AGCTGAACTCTCTGTGGCCAGTGGAGCTTGGCTGAGCTAGGCCAGGCTCCACTCTTCACTGAGCTTTGGGCTCAGGGCAGCTCAACATGCTTTTGTTCTGGGACCAGACTGCAGGGGCGGCAAGTACGCTGGGGGAACATGCAAAGCACCCTAAGGCCTCAGCTTGGAAGGGGCACACTGCCACTTCCACCTCACCCTGACAGCCAAACTAGTCACATGGCTGAACCCACAGTTAAAGAACAGAGGCAGATACCGTGGCCCTTTAATTGAGAAGAGGTCCCTAGGTGGCACAAGTAGTTTCCACTTGACTACAAGCATAAAGGTTGGTGGTTCAAACCCATCCAGCAGCACCATGGAAGAAAGGCCTGGTGATCTGCTTCCACAAAGATTACAGCCCAGAAAACCCTATGGAGCAGTTCTACTCTGTAACACACAGGGTCGCCATGAGTGGGCACTGACTTGATGGCAACGAGTCTGGTTTTTTAGTAAAAAGAATGGCAGTCTCAAGACTAAGGGCGTGGACCAGGGAGGAGGGAGGAATTGAGGCCAGAGAGGCTTCGCCTCCAATCACAAGCCACCAGTCACATCAGGGAAGGGGCCCCACACTGGCCTTGCCCTGTCCACCTCACCAGCTCGCCACACTCCCTCCTGCCTCATCAACTCTATCAAAACCTGGAAGAGACCCTGCATGGGAACACCTCCAGTCCATGGGGACCACAGGCCCACTCACACCCCACCCCAGTGCCCACCTTCCCAGCATCTGTACCTGCTCCAGGGAGCCATTAATCTCAGGCAATTTCTTTCCTCACTTGATTTGTTTATTTAAGGAAAACAAGTTGCTCCTAATTAGAAGCACTGCTGTCGAACGTTCCGCGCATCCTAGGCTTCCTATTTTCAGACCTTCTGCCTAAAATTATACTTGCACTTTTAACATCTGTGAGTTTGTTCAGCAACTGTCCTAAGTGGAGGCTTCCAGCGAGAGAGGCTTGGGCTGGTCGGGGGAAGGAGGAGCCGGGGGCAGGAAAATATGCGGGACTCTGGAGAACTACAAGGCAGAGGTGCTTGGAAAATTAACATGCAGCATCCCAGCACCCTACCCAGAGCTGGCACCGACTGCTGGCCTGCTGAACCAGCACCTGGAAGGTGCACAGCATGGGCACAATTCAAACCCTAAGACAGGGAGAAGATTCGTCTCAAAGGTTCAGAGGTTTTTTTGTCTGGAACCACTCAGATGCGTCTACATCTGCTGGCACATATGTCTGCACCCCCACCAGCATTCAGATAGTCCCGCAGAGAGGCACACACTCAGAAGCTCACAGACACCGGGTACGTGCAAGAAGGTATACTGCAGCGCATGCAGGTAACACACTCAGAAACGCACACATATGCGTGAGACATAATCGAACGTTACACTGCTGCATAGGCAAGCAAACACACTCAGAAACGCAACATGCACCCAGAGACATGCAAGATATAATGCAACACCCACAGGTACACACACTCAGCAACTCACTCCTGCACACAAGACATGCACCAAAGTTACACTGCAAGACACAGAAACACACATTCCGAGACCCTCAGATGCACACAGAGCCACACTCAAATGTACACACAACACACCCAGATTCCGACTCAGAAACACACCCATACAGAGAGATACAATCAAGTATGCAATACTACACACAGGTACACACCTAAAAACACATGTGTACACACAGAGATACACAAAAAGTTTACACTGCAATGCACACAGGTACATACCCTCAGGAACACACACACGGAGACAAAATCAAATGCACACTCTAACACAAATATACATGCTCAGAAAATCACCCATATACACAGAGACACTCACAGAGGTTACACTATGACACACAGGTGCACACACTCAGAAGCACACACCTACACAGAGATGTAAATGTGTAATGCTATACAGACATATACACACAGACACACACACAAAGTTGCACTGAAAAACATGTAGCTGTATACACCTGTAAGTCCATCACCACAAGTTCACACTCACATAGTTGCACACACGTGCACTCACGCTCATGCAGGCACTCACAAATACCCACGTACACGTGTGCAGACAGCAGATATAGCTACTAAAACATGCACCCAGGCAGACGTGCGCAGCTTCTCAAACGTGGGTATTTCCACACAGACCCTCGCAGCACACACGTGCATTGTACAAGCATGCACCTGCTTGGTCAAAGACATGCATGTAACTCACATACGTACACCACTTAACACTCACAAGCACATACACATGCCCTCACTCGCACACATTCTCTTTAGGCATGCACACACACATACAACGTGCACTCGCACAATATACACTCACACGGACACACACGCACTTAAGCACTTTATGCAAGTCATACTCACATAAGCACATGTGCACAAACCTGCAGGAGGAAGCACATATATGTGGATGTGCGCACGCGCGTGCACGCACAGACACACACCAGGCTCCACCAGGAAAGCACATTGTTCATTTTCTCAGAGTCCCAAAAGCCGAGCTCACAGACTGAGCCAGCACACAGGAGAATTGCTCCTGCCCAAGTCCCTCCTGCATACCCATTAGCTCACTCCATGTCAGCCGGGACAGGGACCCTTTTTTGGGGTGGGAGATAAATGTCCCAAGCTTCAGAACCACTCAGAAAGAAGTAAGATTGACAATCCACTGCCTTCCTCCCACAGTTTCAGCACACACACTCCCGCACACACGCATATAAGGCTGTAAAGACATTTCTCTCCCCCGTATGGCTGTTCCTGCCGGGAACAGCGGTCTTACCTGCCTAGCTTGGGACAGCCCTCAGGCCCTCGGGAGGCAGACTGGGTGCCTGACACCCGGACAGACTGAACTTCCCTGCCTTGGGTCCCTACACAGCTGCAAAGTTGAAGCCATGGAGACAGCCTACCTCCACCTCCTGTTGTCATGGTGATGCAGCAGCCAGGTGCATCCAGCCTCCCTGACAGCCCTGGGCTCCCCAGAAGCAGAGCTGTCCAGCGGTGCTTTTATGAGGAAGCAGGGAGGGGGCAGAGACTGCAGCTGTCAGGTGATTGGAGAGGACAACAGCCCAGCCCCCAGTTAGAGGAGCGCCTGGTGCTTGGGTGGGACAGGGCTATCCTCTGTGGGGACAACAGCACCCGGCTGCCCACACCGAAAACAGACTGTGTTGGTGCTGCCTCTATGGAGCTCCGCTGTCCAATCAACTGGATGCTAAGCACTTTCCACGCACCATTTCATTTAGTCCTCCCAAAACCTTCTCAAGTAGGAACTATTATCTCCCCATTTTACAGGTGAAGCAATTGAGGTCTGGAGGGGTGAAGGGACTGGGAAAACTCAGATCGTCTGAGTCCTGGGTCTCCTAAACACCAAATTACACCACCTCCTAGAATTCTGAAAATCTCATCTGTGGCAATCGCTCAGAGTCATAGGGGCTTCTCAACTGGGCCCTCCGTGGATGTGTGAAATATCTTCATTTTACAGAGGCAGCAACTGGGGCCCAGAGAGGTCTAGTGATTTGCCCAGAGTCACACAGCAAATGAAGGACAGGCTTGAAATGCAATCTCCTGACCCAAAGATGGGGCTTTCCCCAGGATGTCACGCATCTGCCTTGGCACACTGGAGGAATCCCTGGGAAGCAGCTCCTAGATTGGCCCCAGGTCAGAATCTCAAGCAAGAACAGGAGGTCTTCAGAATCCCACCTCATGTCCCAAAGCCTGTCCAAGAACCACACAACAACGCTATTCCCCAGAGGCAGGTGCCTAGCCCAAGCAGGGGGTTACAGGGCTGGCGGAATGTTTCCAACCCTCTGGGTCATGGCCAGGAGCACCTCCTCTCCCTGCCTTACTAGCCAGGTAGTCTATCAAGATGACCCAGTCCTAAACTGGGACCCGAGCAAGAAGGCATGATGACATCTATGGAGCTGTGATCACAGCGGTGGCTCCAAAATGATCCTTGGAGGCAAGGGGTCTCTTTGGAGCATGTTTTTCATGGGGAAGAAAACCAATCCCGCCAAACTCATGAGCTATGCACCAGCTCAGCAGAGTCTCAAGGGGCTGGGAGTGTGGGGGATCACCCACATCACCCGAGCTGGGAGTGAGAATGCCAGGAGGCCCGTTCCAGCCGTCCACTCCAGCTGCTCTTCTGCAAAAAGTTTGCGCCTCCCCAGAATCCAATCCGAAAGGTCTCATTGAGCAGCCCAGGAAACTTACCAAAATCTTTTCCTTACCTAAGGACTATGCCCTTTTCTTTGCAACTGCAGGGGATGAAAGTGACCCCCACCCCTCCTAGTGGCTCTGCCGAGAGCAGCCTCCTGCAATGACACTCTGGGCTGCTGGAAGGGCTTGGATGGCAGCTGAGCGGGTCCCCATGCCCCTGTCCCCAGCTTGCCCTCTCTCTCTGTCTACACAACACACACACCTACACACCTACACACAGACACCCCAGGACGGACAATCGGCAAGCCTGCAAAGCACTCCACACAAAGCCTGTGGCCTGGGCAGTCCTGGCTGTTGGCACCAGACGACAGGGAGCCTCATTGCCAGTGAATTCACCCTCAACAAACACCTCTTAAAGCCAACTTGGAAATATGACAGGCTCCTTCTTCCTTCGGACTCTGAGCTGGCCTAGAAAGGGGTGATGGCTGAATTAATTTAAAGGGGCTCGGTGCGTCCCCCCAGCCCAGCTTGAAAAGCCCGAGTGTGTGTTTTTGGGGGTCCTGCGGGGCGCCCCGAGGAAGAACGCTGGGATGAGCCCGGATGTCCCACGCCCTTCCAGAGGAAAGTTTGTCATTTGCCCAAAGCTAGGCTGTCACCGCTCTGGGTTCGACACTCAGCCGGCTCCAAGCGCTGAGCCCCCAGCCAGCGGGGAGGCGGCCGGAACTGGAAGCCCAGCTCCTCCGGGGACAGAAACCATTTCACAGCGGCTGCACGCCCCGCTCCCTGATCTAGCCCGCTTAACCGGCCCAGGGCCCCGCAGCCCTTACCTGAGGAGTCTCGGCCACTTGCAAACTCTGCCAGCGGAGCCCAGCGGGGACCTGGGGTCTCTCTCTGGGACTCTCGCGTCCCGCTTGGTGCGCCCGCTGTGTGGGCGCCTTTCTGGCTGCCAGCTGCTGCAGTGGCATCAAGGAAAGCGAAGCCTGGGTTCCCTTTCTTGCCACCAGGGTTCCTCCGGCCGAGCCCGGGGCTATTTCTGCGGATCTGGTGCAAGGGGCATCCTCCGTGCCTCCAGCAGCAAAGTAGAAGAGTGTGCGCCCTGGACTGCAGCAGCGGCGGCGGCAGCGGCCGAGAACTAGGAGGAGGTGGCGACGCCAGCCGGCGAGCCGGGGCCGCGGGCGGAGGCGAGAGGAAGTGCAACCGGGCTCCTGAGAGCCTGGCGCTCCGGCGGGCGGCCGGGCGGCACTGCGGTGCCCCGTGCAGCGGCGAGGCCCCGCGCAGCCCCGGCCCCCTTCAGCGCCGGCGCAGGATGCGGCTCCGCGCGGGCTCAGCCGCCTCCCTCTCGCTCGCTGCCTCGCTTGTTCCGCCGGACTACACGTCTCCAGCCCGAGCTCCCCGCCGCCGCTGCCGCTGCCGCCGCCAGCAGCGCGCCTCAGCCCCGCGCGCTCCTCGCACGGAGCCACAGCACTGCCTGCCGCTTAACTCCTTGCATGCCACCGGGCCCTCCGCAGCCTCCTGGAGAGCTGGGCAGACGCGGGTGCCAGGCCTGCTGTGGAGCGAGGCTGAAGGCCTCACCGTGACGCCTCAGTTTTCTCGTCTGTAAAATGGGTTTGATAAATCTATGAGTCAGAATGGACTCGATGGCCATGGGTCTATAGGGTTGTCAGGAGGATTAACCGAGATGATTGAGTGCCAAGCTGCGTAGCATTAGGTAAGCACTTAATAAATGGCAGAGTATTTTGCTTGCTGTTAAAGAGGCTTAGCAGGTGCCTCGCACGTAGTAAACTCCCAACAAAGGACAGTGCTGGGTTTCTTTTCTTTTCCTTCTTTGGTATTTGGTTTGTGATTTTAACCGGCAGTGGGTTTAAGCTGTGTAATCTCTAGCTGATCACTTCCCCTCTCTGAATCTGTTTCCTGCAGAGCTCTGTGACCTTGGGCAAATCATGTCACCCCTCTGAGCCTCTGTTTCCTCATCTGTAAAATGGGGAAGATAATATCCAACTTCAAAGGATGGCCACAACAGGACCCCATCTCATGACGAGGCATGTGACAGGAGCCACCACTGAGTGAGAGCCTCCTAGGTGCCAGGCACCTCACCGTGTAATTGCAAACATATCACCTCATTAAGCCATCAAAACAACCTGGGAGGCAGCTATTTCTATCTCCAATTTTCAGATGAGAGAAGTGAGGCCCAGAGACAAACCATTGCCATCAAGGCGATTCCAACTCATACGACCCTATAGGACACAGTAGAAAGGCCCCATAGAGTTTCCAAGGCTGTCATCTTTAGGGAAGCAGACTGCCACATCTTTCTCCTGGAGAGCAGTTGATAGGTTTGAACTGCTGACCTTTCGGTTAGCAGCCAAGCACTTAACCACTGTGCCACCAGGGCTCCTTATGAAGGTATAAAGAGGGTGCTATTGACCTCAAGCATGAAAACCCTATGGATCACAATGGTCCCATTGTGCATGAGGTGGCCATGAGCTGGGGGCAAACTCCACAGCAGCTAACAACGACATTGACCTCGAGCAGCCCCTAGTCTGGCCCTACACAGCTCACTTCTTCCTGCCCCGTCCCTAATCCTCCTTAGGAATGGGAATTGGGATCCTCACAAAGTGGGAAGAGCCTCAGGCTTGGAATCAAGCAAGTAGGGCTCTGGTGCTCAGCAAGTGTCCTCGGGTTGGTCACTTGCTGCTCTGAGTCTCTGCCTCTTCATTCTTTAAAAGGACTAATCATGCCTTCCCTGCCTCTTTCTTGGGATTGTTGGGTAGATGAAGATAGAAAAACCAGTAAAAATATAAGCTTGAGGTTATAATCATTACCGTCATCATCATAAAAATCCAACCAAACCTGTTGCCGTCGAGTTGATTCGGACTCATAGCGATCCTATAGGGCAGAGTAGAACTGCCCCATAGGATTTCCAAGGAGCAGCTGGTGTATTTGAACTGCTGATCTTTTGGTTAGCAGCTGAACTGTTAACCACTGCGCCACCAGGGCTCTGTCATCATCATACAAGCATATAATAATAGGTCATCTTGACATCTCATAGTAGTTAAGAGTGGGAGCTTGGAGACAAGTTTTCCCCCATATGGATATCCAGTTGCTCCATCACCGTTTATTAAAGAATCATATTTCCTCCAATGCTCAGTGTGGCCACCTTCGGCATAAAGTGTGTGTCCACATGTGTGTGGGGACTGGTTTGGGGCCTTCCATTGGATTTCATTGGGCCATTTGCCTATCCTTGTGCCAATATCACATGGTGTTAATTACCATAGCCTTATAATAGTCCCAACATCAGTAAAACAAGGTTTTTTTTCATTTTGTTTCCTTGTTAAGAGTATCTTAGCTATTCTTAGCCTTTTGCATTTGCATATACACTAGAATCAGTTTATCAAGTTCTTCATACAACAAAAACAACAAAAGACCTGTTGGTTTTGGCTGGATGGCGTTGAGTCTACAGATCACTTTGGGAAGACTTGACATCTTTACAATATTGTGTTTTCCAACCCACCTACCTCACACCATACACAAAAGTCAACTCCAGCAGGAGCGTAGATCTAAATGTGAAAAGCAAAACAACAAAGCCTCTAGACGCTGATACAGGAGAAAATCTTCATAATCTTGGGGTAGAAAAAGATTTCTTAAACAAGGTACAAAAAGCACTATCCAAAAAAGAAAAGACTGATACATTTTACTACATTAAAATTATAAGAAATTCTCTTCATTCAAATACGCCATTAAGAGAGTGAGAAGTCAGGCCTTAGAGTAGAAGCAGATCTTTTCAGCACACATAGCTAACCGAGAGCTCCTATCCAGAATTTACAAAGAATGTCTACAAATCAATATGTAAAAGACAGACAACCCAACCAAATGGGCAAGACATTTGGACAGATATTTTGCAAAAGAGGATGTTCCAATAGCCCATAAACACATTAAAAGGTACTCAATCTAATCAGCAATCAGGGGCATGCCAATTAAAACTGCAGGGAGAGATGATGACACTAAAATTACAAGGACTGAAAAATTTCACGTGTTGGTAAAAATGTGGAGCAAGTGGAAATTGAATATACTGCTGTGGGGCTGTAAACTGGTACAACCACTTTGGAAAACTGTGTAGCATTATCTACTGAAGCTGAATATATACCCACACCATGACCAGCATTTCCACTTCCAGATCTACACCCAACAGAAATGAGTGCTATATTCACCAAAAGACATGTATAGAAATGTTCATAGCAGCAATTTTTGTTGCTCATAACAGCAAATTTTGAAATAACCACGACCTAAATGTTAATCAGCAGTAAACTGTGTATATATGCATGATAGAATACTCCGAAGCAATGAAAATGATCAAATTATATAGCCACACCCAACCACATAGACAAACACAATGTTGAGTGACAGAAGCTAGACATAAAAGAGTACAAGCTGAATGATTTTACTTAAAGTTCAAGAACAGCCAAACTAAACTATAGTATTAGAAGCAGAATCGTGGTGTCTTTGGGGAGAATGGTGATGGCTTTAAGTGGGAGGGAGAATGAGGGTTTCTGGAGTCTGGCCATTTTGTATTTCTTGATGTTGTTGGTAACCACACAGGTGATTGTGACAGATCACTGAACAGTACATTTACATATTATACACTTTCTTGTACATGTGTGAAATCTTAACTTTTTGAAAAAAATTGTTTAACTTTTTAAAAAAGTGATATAGGCCACCTCCAGTCTAATGAATAAAACCCTCTCACCAGCCATCTTCCATACTCTTTTTCTCTGTACACCTTCACATTGGAGAGTGTCTTAGTTATCTAGTGCTGCTATAACAAAAATACCACAAGCGGATGGTTTTAACAAAGAGAAGTTTATTTCCTTACAGTAAAGTAGGCTAAAAGTCCAAATTCAAGGCGTCAGCTCCAGGGGAAGTCTTTCTCTGTCGGACTTCTCATCAATTGTTCCCCCAGATTAGGAGCTTCTCCATGCGGGGACCCCAGGTCCAAAGGACACACTCTGCTCCTGGCACTGCTTTCTTGGTGGTATGAGGTCCCCCTGTCTCTCTGCTCACTTCTGT